AGAGAGAGAGACTTATCCCCATATTTAGAATGTAGAAGTTCATTTCTTTTAAGAAGAAACGTGAGGGTTATTACAGTCCAAGAGACTGGGCTGAAATCCTGGCTTCCTCCCCTGCCCCCTGGTGAGTTCCCTGTGTCAGGAAAGGGTCTCAAAAATGTGGTCGGGGACAGTGTCTTCCTTGTAATTTTGACTCAGAGCGAAAATTGAGTGAATCCCTGTTTGAACGGCGCTCAGCACCTCCGTGCCTCTCCTCCCACCTCGCGGGCTGTCAGTCAATTCATTTCAGCTGCTTTTCAGAGAAAAGTAGCAGGAAGCGCATCCGCGTCCTCTCCTCGGCGCCCGGTAATAACTTCACTCGCTGCTTGGAAAGAGTCCCAGCTGCGTCGTTTCATAACTCGCATGTTTGAAAGCTTCTGCTGATTTTTCTGCATGCAGGGAACGCTTTTCCTTATTTGCCTCTCCAGTTTTCATGATTTCAAACACTCTGCTCAAAGAAAATTTTCAAGCATCAGCTCTTCTGGGAAACAAGGGCACCTGCTCTGCATTGAAAGGACGGTCACTGCCAGCACATGCTCCCTTCAACACAGGCTGCCCTCAGCTCTTAGCCTTCAGGGTTCCAGCCACTCCCTTCCTCAGCTCTGAGGTCATGATTAGGCAGGCTTTTGCCTTCCACAGTGGAAGGACTCGGAGGCTTGTGGTTCTGGAAGCTATTTCTTTTCTCCTTAGGAGCCGCAGCTCGACACCCTATTTATTCCCCTGATCTCTGAAGGCTGATCAGAGTACAGAGCCAGCTTTGCTTTACTAAGAAAAACACTTTTAGGTTCTATATTTCCTGTTGTATGCACAGTGACACATTAGCACATTGAAAACATTATGCAGTGCACTAATCTGTGTCTACCTTGCTTGCTTACTTTCTCTTTCCTGCTCTAAAATCACCATCACAATATTTCTGACCAGATTCAGCACTGAAATAGACTTCCTGTTAGATTAACTTCTTTGAAGATATAATCACATATCTATGGTTTGGTGGAACTAGAAATCTCTGAAGCAGCCTCACGATGTTGAAGATCCTGCAGGCTTCTGGATCTCCACTGGGGACATTGTACAGAGACAATACTGTCAGCAAGGGCCAGCACCGTCCGGGGCTTGTTGAAGCCCGTTGATAGCCATTGACCCTTACTGTGTCTCACCTTGCAAGCCCCTATATGTGAACTTCTAGTCTCCACCAACCCCAAAGCTGAGGAAGTTACACTGGAAGCTTACAGAAAACATCCCATGTTGTGCTGTAGCCCAGGTACTTAATACCTCAACACCACACATGGCGGATATTGTGATTTGTGGATTTCTTGCCCCCATGACTTCAAAAGCACACGTAACTGCTTTCATGGGGGAGGGGTGTGGATGAGGCTCTCTGGCCATGGCCGCTCATATTCAGTTCAGAATAAGCTACACTCTTTTTTCCTCCAAAGCCATCTTCACTCTACCTCGGCAGCATGATGATACGTAATCAATGTAAGAAAGAATAAATGGCTTGAGTTAAAATCAAGTCTGAAGGGAGCAGTGTCTGACCAAAAAGATTCAAACTCAGATCCGCTTCATGCAGTCAGTTACTCACTGTAAAAATGACTGAGTGGCATACAATTATGCAATTTCTAAAATCATCTCCATTTATTGAGCATTTACACATATATTTTTGAAGGCAACTGTTAGAGAAGAAGGGAGGGATGTGAAATCAAGGTCAACGTACTTCATCTTCTGTGCTTGGCTTGTACCCTTACACACAGGTTATTTGTACAAGGAGCTTGTGGCTATCCACCTGCTTCCCTAATCTAGATTGTTTTCATTTTCTCCCAGTTGCAGACTTATATTGAAGGAATATTTCCCGACTGCAAAATTCTTTTTTTTTGGTACCAGGGATTGAACTCTGGTCCTTGAGCTTGCAAGGCAGGCCACCGAACCGCTGAGCTAAATCCTTGGCCCTTCTTTTTTTTTTTTTTTTTTTTAATTAAATTGT